CAACTGGCAGGTTAAAAGCTCTGTGCTCCAAATGGTGAGAAAGTTTAACAAAATGAATCTGAATACAAAATATATAAATGAGGCAAGAGGGTGTACTGTACATCAGAAAAATATATGGGGCCTTACTTGATGCAAATGCAATATTGCTCTAAGCATTTCTTGTCCTAGAGTAGTGGTGGCTAACCTTTTTGGGCTCCCATGCCGAAAATTAAGGCAATGCGCATGGCAATGCGCCTATGCCCCAACCCCCATGCATCACGCATCTCTGTGCATGCACATGCGATCCCCCGCACACCATGCGTTTCTGTGCATGTGCCCACAATCCTCCTGTGCATGCCATGCATCTCTGCACATGTGCATGAGGACCTCCTGCGCCCTGTGTCTCTGTTCATGTGCCCGCAGCTCCCTTAATCCCCATGTATGTGTGCCAGATACCCGACAATCAGCTGTCAGGCAGGCGGCGCACACGCATGCACGGTGGGGCTCTGCCAGGCAACATCTCACGAGCCAGCAGAAGTGGGTCTGGGTGCCACTTCTGGCATGCATGCCATAGGTTCGCCATCACGGTCCTAGAGTGACCATCTAGATGTCAATCAAGTGCTTGTATTTCAAATTTATTAATTTAAGCCACAATTGAAATGTTCCTATGATGAAATTACATATTCATATTTGCATGTAGCTTTTTTCTCAATCTTTGTAGCTACTGTAATTCACGGGAGCCCCAAGAAACACTCTTAAAAGGCAAAAATTTTCTGCGTGGTGAGGTTATAAATTATGCACATTATATTTGAACTTAGCCCAAACACTGACTGGTCTATTGCTGTTTTTCCAATCCTGTTATTTAAATCTCTTTTTTCCCCATCCTCCCAACCTAAAAGATCAACTTAGACTTCCTGAGGAATTATGGGGCTTTTTTTGTAACAGAAGTTATTGACTTGTTGCGAAGTTTCAGTAGCTCTGCAAAGCAGGAAAGTCCTATAGCTCATTTATTTGTGTTATTCTTAAAGACAGACACTTCAAGCTCATCCCAATCCCATAGAATCACACGTCTAGTTCTTCTCTGCCCCAATTCCCCATCCTCATACATAGATACAAAAATAATAATAACTGAAGTCCACCAAATCCAAGTTAGGGATCCAGCCAGCAATGTGGCTTAAGAACATAAATTAGGAATTGAGAGTCTATGAAATTCTTGCTAATTGAATGGCACAATTTTTTTTAAAAAATGGATGCAATTAGTTTTCCCAAAGGTGCTTTTCCAAAAGGCAACTGGATTTTCTTGGATTTTTTATTTCTTTGAAAACATCATGCTTATCATCCAAGAAGCGTCTTCAGAACTCTGTGGGATTGGGATGAGCTTGACATGTCTGTCATTAAGAATGAAATGAATAAATTAGCTGTAGGGTTTTTTCTTGCTTTGCTGAGCTACTGAAATTTCCATAAAGCTGAAAATAAAGTTAACAGCTTCAATGTTACAAAGAAAATTCCATATCTCCTAAGGAATTCCAAGTCGCTCTTTTGGTTTGCAGGGAGAGGGAGAAAAAAGAGGTTTGAATTACGGGATTGGAAAAACAGCAACAGATGAAGAACTGAAGAAGCTTCTTGGATGAGAAGCAAAACTTAAAAAAAAAACAAGAAAATCCAGTTGCCTTTTGAAAAGCCTCTTTGGGATAACTATGACCCTGTTGATTGTGAATCTTCATAGATACGCAATCAATTTATTTTACTTTTCTGGACAGAGGATCCTACTTAATGCATCTTCCCAGGAAGAACATAGAAAAGCTATTTAAAATACTAATTATTTAATTCCAAACATTTTCTTCCAGCAAGAGCTTGGTTGTGCCTCATTGGAGGCCCAAATGATACTTTACTGGTTGGAACCTTGGCTGAACTGAACATTTGAGTTCCCAGCCCTGCTCACCAGGCTGGTAATTCTCTTCTCTTTGGGCTCACTGCTGACTCTCAACCCACACTTTATTCAAGCTGGTTTTAGGGGGAAAGCCAATGTTAATGAAGTGTGGGTTTTATTTCAATTTAAAAATGATGGGGGCTATAAAATAGGGAGGCCTTACCAGGACTCCTATATCTTTTGGGAATAACATATTGTATAATTCCCTACAAGACTCTCAGAAAGCATTGACATTGGATGAGGTTGGTCTCCTTATTCTCAAAGGTCATTGAAGGCAGACTTCACAACATGCCTTCACAACAAACCCTCTATGTATATATTCAGAGAGTAAACAAATCATGCATGTTCTTTCAAACTGCCTCGTACACTGTGTTAATGGTAAATCTCTAGATTATCAGAAAACATTCCAATCTTAAATTATTAATTTCCTGTTAAGTGACCAGTTTAGAGAGTTGCAAAATTTTGAACCATAGCAATCACAATTAGATGATGCTGAGTGAGTCTACAAGTGTCATATAGGAAGCCATTTTGTACTCACTATTCCACATCCTTTTCCTCTTGCTCCTATCATTATCATCATCATCATTTCCCACCCACCCCTTTGCTTTGCTCTCCATTAATTTACTGCTATTCCCTTAATCTGATGCACTTAACCAATTTCCTACTGCTCCTTTGGTCTATAACTACTACAGGAATATATAAAATTCTAAACAGTTCAAACCCAAACCCAGGAATATAAACTGAGTTTAACAGGGGCCTTCACAACTACCTAAATGAATTCTAACACAAGTCTTCAGCAAGGTGAGAACAAAAATGGAATATGGATGTTGGTCTGAACAAGAAAAGCTATGGTAGAATTCAGATGCTGTGACTAATCATGGAATAAAGGTGATTTACTGGACAATCAACATTTAGGCACAAACCATAGCTTAAATCTAGCAATAGATGTATTTGTTCTGGGCAAAATCAAAATCACCTTATATCTCAGCATCTTGTGCAAAGCTACTGCTTTTCTTCTTTCCCATGTACAACATATCCATTTATAGGCAGTGTAGAAATATTTGTGTAAAGCTGCATTTCTGTCCGTCTGGTCTGAGGTAATCTGTGGAGCTTAATAGATTCAGATTCCCATAAGAGGAATGAAACACTGGCTGATCCTAAACAGGCCTGCATAGATGTAAATGCAATGCAAATTTAACTGTCAATTCCCACACTTCTACTTTAACTTAAGTTGCTTCCAATATTTTACCTATCAGCCTTTTACAGCTACTTCATAGTCTGACCAAAAATACCTTTTGATAATTACTACTTACAAACCCTGTGCAGCTCCTGTACCATTCTCCACAGCCTCACATACAGTTAGTTAATCTACTCATAATCATAAGCATCTTTTAAACACTTCAGTACTGTCGTTAATCAGCTTCTCTCTAAACTCCAATATCTCAACCTCAGCCTCTCTTTTGCATCTAAACTTTACTACAGTAATCCAATTAGTAAGTTAGTTACCCTGCCTAAGCTGTGCCTGGAATTTATCTTTAAGCAATCATCATTAAAAAGCAAATCATGTTTTCCTCTGGGGTCCTACCTTATGGCTTGAAAATTAAATTATAGGAAATGCTAGCTATTCGTGTGGAAATGGGCACAGAGATGCCACCATAATCTGGAAAGGGGGAGTTGAACCAAGCAGAATGTTAAACCTTATCTATCAGTCCCTCTTAGCCTGAACAGAGGCACCTAAGTGGGATCTTCCACTTCATATAAAGAACTTTTATCGTCTCCTATGGATTTGATCACAGAATCATAGAGTTGGAAGGAAGATAAGAGGTCATCAAATCCAATCCCCCGAACACTGCAAAATTCACCGTAGCATCCCCAATAGAGGACTATCCAATCCCTGTTTGAAAACCTCCAGTGAAGGGGAAGAAACTGCTCCATGGGCAATCTATTTCACGTTTATTGTCAGCACTTACTAGCAAGAAGTTCTTCCTAATGTTTAATCCAGTATTTCTCAACCTCAATAACTTTTAAGTTGTGTGGACTTCAACTTCCAGGATTCCCCTGCCAGCCTGCCTAAAATCATGGATGCCATATTCTATGTGTAATGTAACTAACTGAGAATAGAGAGGAACAACAACTTCTCTTGACTTTGGTTTTATACTTTAGCTGTTGCAGCCTAGGAATTTTTTGCTCTTTTGCCATCATCTTTTGCTGGCTCACATTCAGTTTGGGATTCATCAAGACATTTTTCACATGTACTGCACCACAGTATAGTTCAGGAACAATAAAAGAAACTGTTCAGAATGAATTCCACATGTCTTTCTTGGTTCTTAGGCCCAAACATTGAGTCACCATCTCTGTATTTCCAAATGGGACTAGAACAGATTCTTATGTGAAATTCTGAAAATCTGGTATGATGTGCTTCCTGTCAGAAAAGAACTAAAAGTGATGTATAAACCAAGTACAGGGTAAAATGAACTTTCTCACCCTCATTGCTGCTTAAAAGATTCCTAAAATTAGTATTTCATGCCTTAATGACTCTCATCTTCACCTACTGCCTGGCTCTACTGTCACAAGGCCCAGGTCAATTGCTCACAATACCGTATCTTCAGTAAACTCAATTTCTTTCATTTTGTCTTCATTATTCCCATAGACATTCCTTTTCACATATAAATTTCCACTGCCAACTAGTTCATTCCACTCTATAAAATATGAATATCCAACCCCTTTTGATCTCATCATAAATTTCAAGACTCCAAGGGCAAAAGGGATGGTTGGAAATGGTCTTTTCCCTACTAAATGAAGGAAAGAAAGGGATGCAAACTACTTTTGAAAATAATGTGTGGAAAGAACTATTGATTCTTCAAGAGCCTTTCTATTTTCTCCTGTTGATAAGCAGTAATTTCTGCATTTGTTATCCCTGGCAGCTGTGCCTTGTTTGCCAGAACTACCAATCTATTTTCTCATCATTCCACATGTTGAATGTGTCTCTTTAAACATGGCAGCAGCTCTGGGAACCAAAACAACAGAATTCTCCTAGAGCAGAAATATGGAAAGCACAGCCATTCTGCAGAAAGAAGGAAACCAACCCTACCTCTTGCTGAGAGCTTCTTGGTGTTGATAATCTTGGCTGCATATTCATGTCCAGTGCAAAGTTTGACACAGCGTCGCACCACGGAAAAAGCCCCCCTGAAGAAGGACAGGGAAAAAGAGATTGATTAATGACTGCATGGCAGGAGAATTTCATTGACATGCTCATTGCAAAATTCCTAATCCATCTTTAAAAAAAAAAAAGGTATGGCTTTGCACTCATTTGATTAGCACGCTAATATTTAAACTATTTTTATCCTACTGTCTAGTCAACACTTTTACAAATACCCCTAGTCCATGTTCACACCCTAACAGATGTGGCAGACAAGGAGAAGGTGATGGGGAAGAAAAAGAAAAGAGCAAATTCAGTCATAAGCCCTTAAGTTTGTGATTCAGGTCACAACCAGCTGGAATCAAAGAGGTTCCTGATTTCCCAATGTATCTTTCCACGTGTAAGCAGGACCCTTTCATCAGATTCTCTCTCTGAATTAAATTTCATTGCATTAGTTTCATCCATCTCTTAACTGCTTCCAGATCTGTTAAATCATAGCACAGCTTTTCTAGACTTCCTAGATAAGTGGAACACAGTATGTTGTTCCTGATATTCATAAATGCAACCCTATAGATGATTTCACCCAATGGCTATCAATGGTTATAAATCAGGAAACAAGATTGAGCATTCAAGAAGACAGAGCCCATATCAAGAGAAGTCCTCAGCCTTCACTTTCTGAGTTCTCTTGTCCAAGACTAAAATCATAATACAGGTAGTCCTTGATTTACAATCATTCATTTAGTGGCCGTTCAAAGTTACAGCAGCATTGAAAAAAATTATGAATGGTCCTTGCACTTATGACCGCTGCAGTATCCCCATGGTCATGTGATCAAAATTTGGATGCTTGGCAACTGGCATTACCACCTGCAACTTCCCAGCCAGCTTCTGACAAGCAAAGTCAATGTAGGAGTGGATTTGCTTAATGACCATGTGATTCACTCAACAATAGTTATTTCTTACTAACCATAGCAAAAAAGTTCTCTAAAATTGAGAGTGATTTAATAATCACATTGCTCATCAATGGAAATTCTGGTCCCAGTTGTGGACATTACTTGAGGAGTCCCTATAAACTTTCTCCCACTCCCTTCCTGGATTTATACAACAGCTTAAACTTGGGGGGAAAACACACATTCTGATTTTATGGTCTGTGTGAATAGACCAAAAATGTTGGGAGTAGATGAATATTTGGTCTGAGCTCACCTTCTATGCTTAATATGTTGTGCAGCTTCTGCTTTTAGATCTGAATATTTATTTATATTGGATCATCAAGAAACTTTCAAAGCTCAAAGGAATTTAACATTTTAACATGTCTTTTCCAGTTACTTTATCTTCTGAACGAAATTGGTTTTTATCTGAAAACTCTTCCAACACTACCTTTAACATCTGGCTTTTGCATTAATACCTTTATTTTTCTCACAACTAAGAGGCTTTAAAAGTGCCGCCCCTTCTCTCAGGGATTGTTAAACTAATTAATCCTGTTCTATTGTGGGACAGTGAGCTTTTGGAAATATCATTCTATAACCTTTTCGAATTATCAGAGTGGTATACATTAGCCAGTGACCTCAGATGCTCTCCTGTCAACAACCCCTAACAGCTGTCTTTTCCTCATGCCACAATTCCAACCAGTAGGAAAACCATCGGATTAAAACCATGTGAATGTCACATTTAAGACCAAAAGCATGAAGCTGTTCTTCACTAGCTGCCTCCTAGGGAGAATCTTAGACAACCTGATAATTGTTGGCTCCAGGGTGTTGTTTTGTCCTCCAAGAGAGGATCCAGGGTGTTGTTTTAATGGTGGACAACTGGATTCTGATGGGAGGTGTACCAAGCCTACAAAGGCAATACCCATCCTCCACAGTTCCTTCTCTTTTTCATCAGAGTGATATCTAGGAATTGACCCAATTCCACTTAAATGAATGAGACTGAAGTTAGACATGACAGATATTAGTTTCATCCATTGATTATACCGAGCCTGTCCAACATGTATTTTATCAACAGATTGTTTTTTAAAGTCATGTTGCAAATCATTTGGAATTATGTCTGAATTTTGATGAAGGACAATTCACAAATGTAAAATGTAACGACGATTCTAACTATCCATGTAAAGGTAGTCCTTGACTTATGATTGTTCAGTGCCCAATTTTATAATATTTTTTGCCACAGTTAAGCAAATCACTGCAGTTGCTAAGGAAATCCAGCTTCTCCCCATCGATTTTGCTTGTTGGAAGCCAGCTGGGAATGTTGCAGTGATCCCAGGATCCCAGGATGCTGCAACCATCATAAATAGATGCCAGTTGCCAAATGCCCAAATTCTGATCATTTGAAGATGTTGTGACAGTCTAGGACCAGTTGCAAGTCACTTTTTCCAGTGCTATTGTAAGTTCGAATAGTCACCCAATGAATGGTTGTAAGTCAAGTAACAGCCATTGACAAGCACAGAGTTTAGCACAGAAATTCCATAAACAAAACCCCAACTGTTGCACAGTAGAAATACTGATAGCTTGTCTCAGGATATCATCGTCACTTTTTAAAATTTTCTATCTTGTTTTGCTTCGGAGTAGTTGAAATCTTGAGAGTACCAATGGTATTCTTATTAAGAGGGAATCGGGATGGCTACCGCCGTAGGGGGCATAGGCAGAAAGTATTACAAAATACTAAGTGAAAAGCAAAAATAGATGCTTAAGGAAATAAATCACGATGATTAATATTTAATTCTGCCAAAGAATACTAGCATCCAAGCACATTTTCACTGGAAATAACTTTCCTGAATTCTACAGGTAGTCCTTGGCTTACGACCACAACTGAGCTCAAAATTTATGTTGCTAAGTGAGACATGTGTTAAATGAGTTTTGCCCAGTTTTACTAACTTTCTTGTCACAATAGTACTAGCTATTACTTAACAATAGTAATAGCATTTAGACTTATGTACTGCTTCACAGTGCTTTTCAGCCCTCTCTAAGCAGTTTACAGAGTCAGCCTCTTGCCTGTAACAATCTGGGTCCTCATTTTAATGACCTTGGAAGGACGGAAGGCTGAGTCAACCTTGAGCCTGATGGGAGTCGAGCTGCCAAATTGCAGGCAGCCAGCAGCCAGCAGAAGTAGCCTGCAGTACTGCATTCTAACCACTGTGCCACCATGGCTCTTGTTCAGTGAATCACCACAGTTGTTAAGTTAGTAACACAGTTGTTAAGTGAATCTCGCTTCCCCATTGACTTTGCTTGTCAGATGGTCGCAAAAGGTCAAAATGTGAGATCCCGGGACACCGCAACCATCATAAATATGAGTCAGTTGCCAAGCGTCTGAATTTTGATCCTGTGATTGTTGGGATGCTGCAATGGTTGTAATTGTGAAAAATGGTTAACAGTCCCTTTTTTCAGTGCTGTTGTAACTTTGAATGGTAACTAAATTAACTCTTATAAGTCGAGGACTATCTGTATTGTTTTATTCCTGAGCGGATACATACAACATCAAATGTGAATATTCAGACTGTTTTAAATCAAGTGCAAACCAATAGGATAATACCAGATTTTGCCCACCAAATACCCACCCTACATGATGGGACTGAAACACCCAGAATTCTCAAGCAGCAAACTCTGGAAGTTGCAATTCCAGTCCATTTGGAGAGTTTGCATTTAAATGACAATGACTAAAGTGATACACTGAATTTGTTTGTTTGTTTATTCGTGTCAGAAACATATAAAATACAAGATTAAAATATATACAAATTAAACAGGACTTGCCCAGAAACTAGCAATATTAATTGCATTCTGTTGCTCTGCCATGAGGTCCTCAAGTGTATTCTGATTGGGGCACAAAGGGCAGGTATATGAATAGGAGTTGTTGTCTGCATGTCACCACAATCCCAAAGAGTCAAAATACACTGAGTCAAAATACGCTTATTGCATAGCTGGCAAAGTTCACACAACCCAAGTCAAAAGTAATGGTTAATTGATCACTATGGCTAGATGTAGGATATGTTCCAATACCCTCTCCTCCTCCCACTAAAATTAAACAAACCACTATCAATACCTGGGAAGATCCTGGAAAAGATAATAAAAAAAACAGATCTGTGAACAAATAGGAGCAAATAAAGTTATTGGCAACTAACTCAAAAAAGCTCAAAAAAATAAAGGGAACACAAAAATAAGACATCCTAGATCTGAATGAATGAAATATTCTTATTAAATACTTTGTTCATTACATAGTTGAATGTGCTGACAATAAAATCACACAAAAATTATCAATGGAAATCACATTTAGCAACCCATGGAGGTCTGGATTTGGAGTTACACGCAAAATTAAAGTGGAAAAAAACACTGCAGGCTGATCCAACTTGGATGTAATGTCCTTAAAACAAGTCAAAATGAGGCTCAGTAGTGTGTGTGGCCTCCATGTGCCTGTATGACCTCCCTACAATGCCTGGGCATGCTCCTGATGAGGTGGCGGATGGTCTCCTGAGGGATCTCCTCCCACACCTGGACTAAAGCATCCCCCAACTCCTGGACAGTCTGTGGTGCAATGTGGCGTTGGTGGATGGAGCGAGACATGATGTCCCAGATGTGCTCAATTGGATTCAGGTCTGGGGAATGGGCGGGCCAGTCCATAGCATCAATGCCTTCGTCTTGCAGAAACTGTTGACACACTCCAGCCAAATGAGATCTAGCATTGTCGTGCATTAGAAGGAACCCAGGGCCAACCGCACCAGCATATGATCTCACAAGGGGTCTGAGGATCTCATCTTGGTACCTAATGGCAGTCAGGCTACCTCTGGCAAGCACATGGAGGGCTGTGCAGCCCCCTAAAGAAATGCCACCCCACACCATTACTGATCTACTGCCAAACCGGTCATGCTGGAGGATGTTGCAGGCAGCAGAACGTTCTCCACGGCGTCTCCAAACCCTGTCACGTCTGTCACATGTGCTCAGCGTGAACCTGCTTTCATCTGTGAACAGCACAGGGTGCCAGTGGCGAATGTGCCAATCTTGGTGTTTTCTGGCAAATGCCAAACGTCCTGCACGGTGTTGGGCTGTAAGCACAACCCCCACCT